TCTGCAGCATCAGCCCTGCCCAGTGCTGGCTGGGCCAGGCCCTTCCTTCCACGAGGGTGGGAGTGAGGCATAATAGGGTATGTTGGGGCAGGTGTACATGCCTTGCTCCCACCCATTCGGGTGGAAGTGCCGGCTGGGGTACAATTTGTTGGTGGGCGCCACGGGCTGGATGAAAGTGTAAGGTGGGCTGGATCTGTCCTGCGGGCCGTATTTTGCCCGCCCCTGCCTTATGCAGACCATCTTTACAGGGTTGGATTTCACTCCAGAAAAGTCTGAGTACAGATTCAACTGCCTTTTCTGTCCTGGTCCCACCTCATTACTCCATCTGTGCTCCTCCATGTTAGCTTAGAAGAGTGGTAACTTCCTGGAATCCTGCTCATATTTTGGTATAATCAGTGCAATCCCTAATGGCAGCAATTCAGTGTGTATTATGTAACACTTACTCCAAACACTTCGAAATCTGTACTTCAGGCAGGCTTTCCACCAGCTGTCTGCAGCCTTCATCTCCAAGGTGGTTACCTGATAAACTGAGGCATTTCCAGTTAGAGAGGGTCATTTTGAACAGCATAACTGGTAATAAAATCTGTCCTTCCTCCTCTTCACTTCTTGTTGTCTTTCCTGGACTTCAATTTTCCCTTCCCTGTCCCTGGATGAAGTGACTTCAAGAGGGAGTCTACCCATCATGGAGTCCCCCCTCTCCCTCACATTGCTTCTCTGTCAGGGCCAGACACAGGCATGGGCAAACCAGGAGGCCACCCCAGGCCTGGACAGAAAGGTGGCCTGCAGATGGCAATTTTTTTCCCATTGTCTGATTATTATTATCATTATCTCTGGTGAAGTGGGGGCCCAATACTAAAAGTTCACCCAGGGCCACCATGAGTCTAGGTACAGTACTGTTCTCTATGGCTTGTATGTTAAAACACCTGAAGAGGGGATGTGAGCCACAGGAATCACATTAGCAGGTGGCTCCAGACTTGAGACAAAGGAGGGAAATTAAAACTCTATAAACCAGTCAACCAGAGGTCTGGGTTTGGGATAATCATTTTGTAGTGGCTTTTCTGGAATTTCCTGAAGCCTGTGTGCTAAAAGGGAATCTTCTGAGCCAGGCCCTGACTGGCTCCATATGTACAACAGAAACAAGGCAGGGTTTGATGGTCACCATGAAGCAGAAAAGTGTGGAGGTTGGTTATGGTGGAGCTCCTCTTTTCTCTGGCAAAGCTGGATAGCCTTGGAAAGATGAAAGAAGGCTGTACCCAGAAGGTGTAACAGGCAGGCTTCCCATCCATGCCAGAAAGGACTAGAACATGTGTTTTCTGAAAGATCGGTGCCTCCAGGAGATGCATCAGAAGGGTACATTTGCCTCTGGCCAATGAGATGTTGACATTTCTAGTTACATTTCCCTAGCGCCAGAGTCTGGAATTATTTAAAGGGCTCAAGGGAGTCAAGCACCCAACTCCCATTGAATCTTATGGAAAATCCCCACTCAAGGCCCCAGTATATCACAGTTGGAAGAAGTATGTCCCTCCCTCTGAAGTGAGAACTTTCAGATCAGCCTCATCATGTTCCCTTTCCCCCAGCCTCTGAAGCAAGATCAAGTGGAAGGGAACAAGGCTTTCTCTGATACATACTCCACTTCAGATAGCTGGGAGCAGCCCCTGAGAACAGCAGTGATCTCCTCTGTATGGTGTGAATCAAGGCTGCAATCTTGTAATCTATGATGAAGAAAATTCGATTTAATAAGCAAACAGAAGACAAACAGGGCATCTAACATCTTTCAATAGGCAACGCTGTCATCTTTCAATAGGCAATGGAGACTGAGTGGGAATTCACATCTAAGATGAATGCCATTGCCGTTTTTCAATGAAACTCAGGTGAAAAATTTTCAACCAGCTCCTCCCAATTTACAAATGGTAACACTAGGACCCTGAGAGGCAGGAAAATGTGAGGAATAATAAAATATTACTTTGTGTTGGTTTTATTTTTCCGGGTTTTTTTCCATTCCATAACACTTTGTTCTTATATATGAGAAAGGGCCCATCAACATCCCCACTCTATCGTCTCTGTTATTTTGTGTAGCTTTATGATTTGATTCCAATCAAGATGACCAGCCCATGCCCTGTCACAGGGAGGTGAGGGGAAGAAAGCTGGCTGCATCCCAAACAGAGAGCTCCATCCCACCACAGGTGTAGGCTCTGATGGACTAGTTCCATGGCATGGAGATATTGTGCATGCAAACTATGCACATGTGACATCACAACTGTTTATTGTAAAAGTAGGTCTGGTAAGCCCAGCTCACAGTAACCAGGGATCAGAGAGAGGCTGGAATTTTATATTTTCAACTCAAGTACCCAACTGTATTTCAAATAGCTTTTAAATAATGATGCAGAATCACACTTGCATATACCAATCGACATGATATCACTCTATTCCTGTGAGGAACCTCTCACCTGAAGATCCAAGCTCATTGATACATTTTCTTAGATTAGTTAAAATGATTGGGTTGGAGACAAAGAGAACAGGGAACCAATTTTGACTTTTACTAGGCAGTTATCGGATTTATCCTTCTCTAGCCTCACAGAGATTCAAATTTTGAAATGGGGTGGTGAGGCTATGGAATCTAACGAATGGGGCAAAGCCTAGGAAAAAGGACACTGGCCACCATCCTGCTCTGTGACTTGTAGTGACTCACTACATCGCTTGATGCCTGAGTTTCTCTTCCCATATTATGTCTATAAGACTTTGGTACAGTATTGTGGCAACCAGTTGACCTATCAGGAGGAGTATTTTCAGTGTATTTTTGTAAACAATCCACACATTGAATGTGCAGCAAGTTTCACAAGCTCCGCTAGTATAAATGAACATGGGAGATCAGACCCTGCTGCTATTTCTGACCTCGTATTCTCTTTCTGACAATGGCCAGCACTAGTCATTCTAGAGAAAGGTAACAGAAGCTGGAAGTAGGTAGTTATAGACTAGCCAATCCCCAGGGAAAATTCCTTCCTAACTCCCTCAGTAAGTGGCTGGCTTTTGCTCTGCAAAAGAAAGGTTTTCCTTCCTCCCACAATATTTGACTTAAAACATCTTTACTGCCGTAACTGCAGATCTTCTCATTGGCCATAAATTACCTTCCCCTTTCCTTCCTGGCAACGTTTTTTGGCTGGAGTGCTGAAAAAACCCACAATGCCTACCTTGGAAGCTGTCAGAGTGCTGGCATGCCAGAAAAACAAAATGAGGGCAGGGGGTACATGGCAGGGATGCCCTGCTTGTGCCCCTTGCCCCCCACCCAAAGCCCCTGCCCCCCAGCCCTGCTGCCTCTTGCCCCCACCCAA